GATGATGATAAAAGGGTTGGAACACTTTCCTTATGAAGAAAGGATAAAGTGCTTGCGGCTCTTTAGCTTGGAGAAACGACGGCTGAGGGGTGATTGAGGTTTGTAAGATTATGCATGGGAAAGAGCAGGTTGAGAAAGAAATACTTTTCTCCCTTTCTCACAATACAAGAACTCGTGGGCATTCAATGAAATTCCTGAGCAGTCAGGTTAGAACAGATGAAAGGAAGTACTTCTTCACCCAAAGAGTGATTGACACATGGAATTCACTGCCACAGGAGGTGGCGGCGGCTACAAGCATGGACAGCTTCAAGAGGGAATTAGATAAGCATATGGAGCAGAAGTCCATCAGTGGCTATTAGCCACAAGGTAATAGATAGGAACTCTCAGGCTGGGGCAAGTGATGCTCTGTATTCTTGGTGCTTGGGGGGGGCAACAGTGGGAGGGCTTCTAGTGTCCTGGCCCCACTGGTGGACCTCCTGATGGCATCTGGTATTTTTGGTCACTGTGTGACAGAGTGTTGGACTGGATGGGCCATTGGCTTGATCCAACATTGGCTTCTCTTATGTTCTTAGATCTTGGGAGCTAAGCAGGGTAATTAGCTAAGCAGGCTAATTTTTGGATGGGAGCCCTCCAAGGAAAACCAGGGTCGTGACATGGAGGCAGGCAAGGGCAAACCACCTCTGAATGTCTCTTGCCCCAAAAACCCTACTAGGTCACCACAAGTCAGCTGTGACTTGATGGCACTTTCCACCACCACCAAGCCGAAATGGAACAACAGAATTACTTTAAAGCACATGATGTGTTTATGATTAGAGTGTGAGTCTCATTCTAAACCAATTTGTCATTCATACTTAGGGGTGCTGAAGTAAGAAGAGTATATTCAAAACCTCCCAAAGCTATGATAAGTGACCTCTTCACATGACCCTTTTGTGACAAAGAGGACCAGGGCTGGGTTTTGTTCATTTGCTTTGTCTCAGCAAACCTAGCTGGCGATGTTCAAATAATGGCCTGCATTTTGCTGCACAGCACTTTGAGGTCAGGATAGTTGACTCTGCAGGCTTTTTGTTCTTTGGGATTAGAGGAGTTAATCAGAGTGACAGTGACTTCTGACTTTATACAGTTAAAAAGGTCACAAACTTGAGGCTGTATTGTTTTCTGGCCAGCTTGCAAAACAATGCATGGAGTGCTCACAGCATCCACATTACACTGTGCATCCTCCCATGAAATATCAACCAGCAAGAAAATGTCATCACAAAGGGTGAGCAAAAGGGCACAGGGTCAGATTATATTTCTGCTAAAACATCTGGCCTATATTTCATACCACTCTTTCTACAGCACAGGGATAACAACACTCTGCTTTGGTGTTAAGTACTGACTCAAAGATCAAAGGGTCATATCCTCACTGAATTTGGAGCACATCTGATCAAAGCTCTTCTGTCAGGGACTCTCCCCGGTGAGCAAAATAAGATCCACCCTATCAGATCCAGCCTGGGGTGACTTAATGTGCAGAAGGCTCGTCTACTGACACCTCATGTGGAGAGAACTGCCTACAAAAAGGTAGGTCAAGATACCTAGTGTAAACAGGAGGTGAATTGCTATGAAATTTCTGTATACCTTCTTTCTCTTTTTCTTTTGGCCATCAAGTCACAGCTGACTTATGGCAACCCACGGGGGTTTCCAGGCAAGAGAGGTAGTTTGCCATTGCCTGCCTCTGCATAACAACCTAAGACTTTCTTGGTGGCCTCCCATTCAAGTACTAACCATGCCAAATCCTGCTTAGCTTCTGAGATATGATGATATCAACCTAGCCTTGACTATCTAGGGCACGGCATACCTTCATTAGGGTATTGGGCATTTCATGTCTCACCATCTACCCTTTTCAAAAATCTTATCCAGAACCAACTGTGTTGAGATATATGGGGGTTTAGGCCACAGTTTCTTAACACACCCTGGCAAAATCATCATGGATATTCTTAAGAAGAATGCCCCCCCCCCAAAAAAAGGTCAAGCTTATTAGAAAACAGAAGAACACACCCTGACCTGGACAGCCCAGGCAAGCCCGATTTTGTCAGATCTCCACAGCTAAGCAGGGTCGACTCTGGCATGTACCTGGATGGGAGACCTCCTTGGAATACCAGGAGGCGGGAGGGCAGGCTCCATTCAGCCACCTTTCTGAACATCCTCCAGGCCCCCAGTAGGGGTCAGTCACCAGAGGTTGCCATGACTCCCAGGTGCACACAGACCCACACTCATGCGCGCGCACACACACACATATGAAAAATACAAAAGAAAAAGAAAACACAAAATGCACTCCAGTTTAGCTTTACTGATTTAGAGATGGTAAATACATGAATCAAGACCAACATGTTTTAATCAACAGCATTTTCTCTTCCAAAAAGATAAGAGTTATTTTCCAGTTATGCAAGACTTCTACCCAGAGGGGCTCAAATGTGCAAAACAATGCAGAAAAAAAGGGAGCCACAGGTTATACATTTTCATAGAGTGTAGTGATCTCATAAGACCATGTGATTTAAAACAAATCTGGAAATATTTTGATTTTACATTTAATATTTGATAAAAGTTTACATATGAGTCATTGTGAGGAGGAAGGGGGAAAGCCATTTTTTCCCAACAGAGAATGATTAACACTTAGTTATGAATACCTGAGGGGCTGTTTGGCCTACAGCAGACATAGACAGATATAAAATTTATATAAATACACAAAGGGACCCAAAGACAGGCTGAAAGGATTAAATAACTGTATGGCACTATGGGCACACTATATTCAAAAGGTTACATTATGATATGGCACCATGGCCACACTATATTCAAAAAGATCAAAATTAATAAGCTTTTATATTTTCCATTATGCTTTCACATAGGCCTAATGCAAGCAATATGGTAATATAGGTATGGTAAACTGCTGAATTTGCTTTGATTACTTTTTTAGCAATAGGATTATGGAGTCTCAGGTTTCTTCCTTGGGGCAGGATGAAATCTAACTCCCTTTGGATTGTGCACTGCATGATCAAAAGATGAGCGTTTACCACTGCAAACATCCCAATTTGCTTGCTTGACAAACAAATGTGAAAAGAAGTTTGAATGTTTCTGACTCCACTAATCACAAAACATCTCCAGTATACCCCTAACTGGACAGGAGCAGAGGAGCGAACACCTCAACGGAAAGCTCTTTTTGTTGTGTGACCAGCATGCATTTGTTGCCTTTATGGATACACAGAGCAACAACAAGCCAAATCTTGGATGGACACAAAGAGTCAAAGCAAAGGCATGTCTGCTTGATGTGTGGCAGTGAGACCCTGAAGCTCTGTAGCTATACAGGCATTCAGGTCAGCTCTGAATTCAGACACCTGCTGAAGCAGGCTATTGCCTATAGAAGCAGATGTCACAATGAACCTGTTAATCTCTGAAGGGTACTAGAATAAGATACCATTCTTACCAAGGTAGCATGTCATGATGTTCTTGAAATCACAGACATTTCTGTTTACTGCAACATGCATTTTGGTACTAGTTGTAGGCAGGAAGGTGCTTCTGCAGCTCTGACATCCAGGTTGCTATTGCTAGGGTTATCTTTTGTCTCAGCCAAATGAAAGGAAATGCAGCGTCTACTAATTAAGAAGCCTTCCTTTATGTCTTTGATATTAACAGTCTGAAGGGCAGTATTCCCCACTGCGTGCAGTCTGGATTTGCCCTTAACTTTGATACTCCTCCTTCTCAGCTCTCTGGTGCCATCACTTACCGCCTCTGACTCTGATTAAGACAGCATGGATGTCCATGACATTTGTGCCGGTCAGGCCTGTCATCAGAAGGTGACGCCCGTTCTGGAATCTGGCGAAGAAGGTGTGTGAGTCGTTGTTGCTCAAAAAAGCCTCCGCACTGAGATTGTCCTGCTCAGCCATGCCCACCAGCTCCTGGCTAGAGAAGGCTCCAGCTGCCTCCGTTGGCCCATCCTGTCCATCGGTGCCTCCACTCAGGAACACAGCTTCGTATTTCTCAAGGGAGGTGCCATCCCCAGATGCCTTTGCCCTGTGCAGCTCTAAGGCCACTCGCAGAGCCAGTTCTTGGTTCCTCCCGCCTTTTCCGGTGCCTTGAAGCCGCACTGTGGTCTCCCCACCAGCCAGGAGGCAAACAGGTATCTCGGCTTGGGATCCTTGTAAAACATCTAAAGTGTCCACGAGATTCAAGCCTGGGATCTGCAGCTCTCCTGCAAGGTTTGAGAGAGCTGCTCCCACCTTGTCTTTTAAAGGGTCGTTTCCAGTACCTCTCAAGCAAACAAACTGAATGAAAAGGCTGTAGAGGTAGGCAACAGTGCTGACCTCCCCACACACCGCATCACTCAGAACCAGAGTCAGGTAGCCCAGACTCTCTGCTTGGTGTTTAGCCTCCTCTAAAGCGAGTCTGTTAGAGCCAATGATGACGTTGTGGACGTGGGCAGAGTCTCTGGGAGGGTCACACTCTGGGTCTGGGCTGGAGAGCACTGTTCGCACCGACTCTGGAATGATGTTGGTCAGATCATATTTGGCAAGGATCTGAAAGCAATCCTGGACCCTACGTGGACTAGCGACGGTGGGGCCGCTGGCTATAAGGTCCACAGGATCCCCAACGATATCAGAGAGGATGAGACTCAACACCTGGAAGCAAAGGAGGCAGTTCACAGAGTGCAAGGATTTGTCATGAATGCTCAACAGTGGGTGCGGTCAGATGGCGTGCCGAAGCGGTTTAAACTGTTCCAGTTCTGGCTGGACTATATTTGCTCCGGGACAAGCGCGGTCACAGGTACCTCTATCACCGTGCAGCACATTGCTCCCGGGTGTCCACACTTCAGGCGCGCAGTAGTGTGCATTGGCGTTTTTTGTGTTTTTTTTTTACAGTTTGCACATGCACATAAGCAATCTTTCATATAATTGAGATTCTCGCGCATGCGCAGAACACCGTATTCCAAAAAGCATGCCCTGAAGCCAAGACTTCCCTTTAAACTTTAACCCTGAAACTGGCCTCTGTGAGGTCCCGGACTCCTCTAAAGCCTTAAACTAGGCGCCGTTTAAACTTTGTTTTTGTTAATGCCAGGGTGAAGCTCCGCCTATGCGCATACCGCTGACGCTTTTAAAAAAATGGACGGCGGGGTTTCGGTGAGCTGATGGAGGCTGTGTTTCCTGGGATCTCCCAGGGAGGTGGCTCGCAAACCAGCAGTTAGAGAGGGTTGAAAATGTCCAGGCCCCCCGGAGACCTTTGTGAAGGGTCTCCAGTCATGGAGCACTGAGGGTTGCCTCTTTCCCGGCACACTGTCGGGAAATTGAGGCGTCCCTTTGCTCCGACGGTCTCTCTGCTGTGTTCCGGCAAGGACTAAGCTACGCACACCCCAAATCAAGTGAGTGGAGATCGAGCAGCAAATAAGCATATCTGTTGGCGAGATCTACTTGATCTACATATGAAGAGTGAGTAAAGGTGAAACGAAACAACAAAGCGAAAGCCCCCCAAGGAAAAGCGAGGGGGGAAAGGGGACTCTCCTCCGCTAAGAACTATTTATAAGCGTTACGGAGCTAGAAGAAAGGGGGGGCAGGTTTAAAAGTGGCAATGGACTATACGGAGAGATTCCAGAAGACAGTTAAGCATTGAAGCAAGTTTTCGGGACTTTGGCAAACTTTGTAAAAGTAAACATCCTTAAAAATGGCGATGGATAACGTAGTAAGAGCAACAAGCAATAGCCAAGCTTTCTCCAGGAAGTGGAGGAGCTGCTGGTTAACCATCTGACCGGAAATAATCACAGACTCTTGCAAAGTGTGTCTTAAGCCTTTGTTCCCTGTTGGTATTTATTTATTTATTAGGATTTTTACCCCACCTTCCCCGCGAGCAGGCTCAGGGCAGCTTACAAGAGG